GAACAAACAGAACAAAGTCAGCCTATTGAGAGTCTTTTTTATGCACGTTTGCAAAATGTTATAAATGTAATAATTAGGTTATTCATTCATGTACAAAACAATTTGCTGCTACCACTTTCTCATTGTGCAAAAATTTTTACAATTACAAGTTGTTCGTTTTACAATAGGCAGCGAGTATTAAATTTTAAATGAGAAATTTCATTTACCTGCTTAACCTTATTCCTTCTCTCTCTCGCAATGCCATCACCATCTTCTCCACCTTGTATAATTGGAAGATTTATTTTGGAAGTTTGACCCGTTTCAATTTTTTCCATAACGTTTTCTCTCTTGGATTGCGACGGAATCATTGCTGATTTGTCCATAACCGAATCATCACCATTAACACTAACATCATTCACATTCACCAGATTTGGACGCTCCAACACTTTTTGACTTAATTCATCTTGTTCAATTTTGGCTAATAACTTAACTCTATCTTCTAATTTATGCGGGTCTAAGACGACGGGATCTCCGTGTCTAACTATACCTACGTTGCTGTGAACATCGTTACTGTGAGGAGGAGGAGGAATTAATAGTTGCGGAGCATTTTGCAACTGTTCGTACACTTTTATGTAAACGTTATTGACTGCGTTCGTCGTTTTGTACTCGGGCAGATCGAAAAACGCACCAAAACACACAATCACAAACGTTATTAAAACTAACAAAATTAAATATTTTTCCCTCGGTCTGAATGACCTCTTGGGTGCCGCGGGAACGGGCGCACCATTCACGAACCTTTGGTAAGTAGGTATCAAACCCGTTGAGGCCATTTCAGCGTTACAAAAATTGTCAACGACTTAATTTTGATTTTTACCTATGACTTCCCATCTTGATGCACTCGGTTGCACTGACAAATCACCATGACGTCAAAACACACTTCTGAAATCCGACCAATCAGAATTAACCTCGAACAGTTATCTATTGCCACTGTCAAAGGAAGTTTGTTTTCAAACTGAAAGTACATGGTTGGTGTTTAACGCTTTACACAAAAAATATATTCATGCTTACTTTACAAAATTCACATTGAGTGGTGTGTGTGTTAAAAAAAAAACTTGAAAATATTTATTTTTGCAAATCAGACAACATTTCACAGCACAGTATTTTTTTATATATATATACAGTAAGTAAGTATTTAAACGTTTTTTTTTTTTTTCCTCGTTAAAACTCTTTATGTGTGTCAACTGACACGAGTCCTTTGTTTGATTATTAATTTACCAAAAATTTTTTTTATTAACTTATTACTCATTAAATAAAAAAAAAAAAACCAGTCGTTTTAATAAAAGAGTCATTACGTCAAGTCCTTTTTATGTAAAATGAATTATTATTATTCGACATTTTGTAATTTTATTACAATCATAATTAATGACACCACATGGAAATCTGCAAAATCGTTTTTTTTCTTTTGGGCATAAACGACAAAAAAATTTTTTTCTTGTACGAAACCACTAAACTACCATATGGCGTTAAAGTGTAATTAATTCTCTCTCTCTCTCTCTCCATCCAATAATTATTTTCTAATTTAATTTAAAAAAAAAAAATTTGTAATGAAATTTCTTTGTTTTGATGCGTTGCATGCATAGCATTGTGATGATTCAACCTCACAAACTTGTAACAATAATAATTTCATTTTGTACAATTTACAATTTTTTTTTTTTTTAATTTTGCTTAATTGTGTCATTTACAAAATGGCTTCTCTTTCAACACATAAGATTTATTCATTTGACCGAATGCGATTAAAGTAAATCGAAAACTAAAATTTCTCAAAGGGTGAGAAATTATCATTATCGATAAATTTTTTTTCGAAAGATTAACAAACAAAGAACTTTTATCGAAACTGCAAGCCACAAACGTTTAAATCATTAAAAAATTATTTTTAACAATTTCAGGTTAAAAACATGTCACAACACATACTGCCACCCGGTAATGGGGATCAAGTAGATGTTTTCGGATTCAAGAAACCAAATTACGATAATAAATTAGTCGCACACATGCCGTCTGAGAGAGATGACATGTTTTATAATATGACTCACAAGAGACGAGGTTTAGCTGTGATATTCAATCATGAAAATTTCGAAATAGATAAACTCAGATCTCGTACTGGAACGTTGATAGATGCAAAAAATCTAGAAAGAGTTTTAACAAATTTAGGTTTCGAAGTTGTTCTCTATCACGATTTAAAAACTAGAAAAGTTATGGAAGAAGTACAGAAGGGTAAAAAAGTATTAAGACATATCATTTGTAAAAAAAAAAAAAAAAAAAAAATCTTAACTTGAAAATTAATATTTTCATTGTTTTAATTTTCTCTCTCTCTCTCTCTCTCTCTCTCTCTTTCAGCTGCCAATTACAATCACAAAGATTCAGACTGTTTTTTCCTAGCCGTTTTGTCGCATGGTGAAATGGGTATTCTATACGGGAAAGATTGCCCTTACAAACCCGAACAATTATGGTTGCCATTCACAGCAGATAAGTGTCCATCACTCGCTGGGAAACCCAAAATGTTTTTTTTCCAAGTAATTTAAAAAATATATATATGTTTGGTAGAAATTGAAATTTTGTCATTCATTCATTCGAAATGTAATTTTGAAATTGTTTCCCGATTAGGCTTGTCAGGGAGATCAATTGGATAGCGGAATAACTCTGGTTAAAAGAACTGAAACTGATGGACACGTTAGTTATAAAATTCCAATTCATGCAGATTTTCTCATTGCATATTCCACCATTCCAGGTCAGTGAGTTTGAAAACATTCTTTCATTCGAACAAAAAAAAGCAAATCTAAAAACTTGAGAATTATTTTTCTTTTAGGTTATTACTCGTGGAGAAACACAACAAAAGGTAAGCGAAAACTCACAAGAAAAATTTATTTTATCTTTTTAACAAAAATAATTGAAATAATTTTCTCTCTCTCTCTCTCTCTCTCTCTCTCTCACAAGGATCTTGGTTTATTCAAGCACTTTGCATGGAATTAGAAAATTACGCTGACAAATTAGATCTTTTGTCATTGCTGACGATGGTTTGTCGACGTGTCGCATTCGATTTCGAATCAAACACTCCGAACGATAGAACGATGCATCAACAAAAACAAATCCCCTGCATCACGACAATGTTGACAAGGCTCATCAGATTCGAACCGAAATCTTATCAAATGGATATAATGTAAACAACAAACAACAACAATCTCAACAACCGGAACAACAACCACGCGGGGGCGTGAGAGAGAGACAGACCCACGTTTGTTACTCAGTATTTCGCATTACATTATTATTAAACTCGAACAAATTTTTTCGATTCGATTCGAAATCGGGGTCTCAAATTTTTTTTTTTTTTGGAATACGATTAACGATTTGTATTTGTTTAACATGAAACAAGTATGTCAAATGTATTGTTTTACGTGTCACGAGTGAAATGCAAAGTAATAATAATAATGATAAAACATTTACACCGTCGCATTCTCTCATCATTTTTTTTTTTTTTTTTTTTTTTTTTTTGTGCGTAAAACTTGCGTTGCGTGTTTCAAATTTATTCCCTTCAATTCGGAAAGGTTTTGTTAAATCTGACACACGCACTCACGCACGCGTACACGCACACACACGCACAACATTCATCGATTGAAATAAAAAAATTTTTTACAATTTACTTACATTATTACATTGTCTCATTATCGTTTCCATCGCTCACGTCACTAAAAAAAAAAAAAAAAAAAAAAAAAAATTCACATGTACATATTTATAAATGACAGTTAATAATAATGATTAACACGGGTAAAAATTTTGTAATGTCAATAATAATAATAATAAAAATAGTATTAACTTTAACAATAATAATAATAATAATATCAGTTATTTATTGAAAACGAAATTTATTCCGGGATCTTTTTTGTATTTGTTAATTTTTTTTTTATATGAAATAAAATTATTTAATTAAAAATGTTTTATATTAATAATAATAATAATATAATTTCATATAAAATGTAAGAGAATATTTTATAACGACGGTTAATTAATTATTTAACATTTGACCTTGAAATAATATTAATAATAATAATAATTGAAAATTTTATTAAACAGTTGTTAATTAATTTTTGAAGAATTCGTACGGGGGGGGGGGTGAAATATATTGAAAAAAAAAACGTGCCAACGGTGGGGAAACACTTTTTCTAAATCTGTTATAAATAATCAAATTCAATCAATCATTCATTCCCTATGAATGATTAGGAATGAAAGTAATCTCCATTATTATTCTCTCACGATGGTAATAAATTTTTTAATTACAATCCGGTAAAGAAATCGTAGAAAAGAGTTTTATAAATTATTACATAATTCGATTTAGTCGAGATTTTTCCTTTACCAACAAACAAACAAACAAACAACAAACACGCGACAAACACGAAAAATATAAAAACAACCAAAATTTTTTTTTTTTTTTTTTCCCCCATTTAAATTTTCCACAGCGTACCTTAATTTTTTTTTTTTTTTTTGGAATGGTTTCCGATGACGTTTCATGACTTCCCCCTCCCCTCCCCCTTCGTAATTCAATACGATGAAGAATCAATTTAAGTAGGACGTTAATTTAGACTTTTAATAATAATAATAATAATAATAATGTAAACAAAATCGGCTGACGTTGACGACAACAACGACTTATTTCCTTATAGAATGACTATAAGTACTTTCCAATAATAAAAAAAAATTTTATTTCGATAGAAAAAAATCGAAATTTATTTCGTGAAATCCACCGCCGCCCCCCCGCCTTCGCCCCCGCCTCCCGGATCCACCGACGATTTTATTAATAATGATGATGATTAAAAGAAAATAATTTTTTTTCATAAACTTTTCCCGCGCTTTTCGTGGGAAATGAAATAATTTCACGTGAAAAAAAAACGCCAGGTCGTTACTTAACAATAACAAATTATCGATAGAATCGAGATATCGAAAAATCGATATTAAACAATATCATCATCACGCGCTTTGTTTTTTTTTTTTGTAAATCAAAAGCGTCATCGCCGGGTGTGCAAAAAACTTGTAAAATAATAATAATAATAATAATAATAATAATAATAATAAAAGTTTAACGTACTCGTCAAGTTCGTCGTATTAAAATTTTTGTTAGTCCCGTGTGTGCTCCTTGCCCTTTGACCTTTTTTTTTTTTTTTTTCGTAAAAATCTTTTGCTTCACATTCGTGATTCGAACGAGTGTACGTATTATATCAAAATGTGATATTTAATAATTTGGAGAGAAAAAAAAAATGATTTCCCCCACACACCCCCCCCCAAAAAAAAAAAAAAACTTTTTTTCACAACCTTCACAACTCGATTCCGATACCTATTCCAATTTTCACACCTTCTTCTTTTTGCAAATTTCATCAATTATAAATTTAAATATATATGAAATTATGACGTAAATGACGATCGAGTGGTAAGTTGTTTCGGGGGGAAGAGGGGAGGCGGGAGGGGGAAGAACCGAAAGGGCAAAAAGAGACGCGAAAAAAAAGCAAAAAAACTTACGAAATAAAATCATTAAAAAACAAATATCGATCAACAACCTCACGTCAATCCATCAACAATCTCCCACTCTACCGTTTGTTGTTTGTTGCTGTTCTGAAAACGTCATTCAAAAAATTGAACTAAGGGTTCGATAGTAGTGAGTCAGGGCTGAAGGTAAGAATAATAAAAATCCACGATCGATTTCATTTACTATCATTATTATTATTACGACGTCACAAAAAAAAACAAAAGAAATTTAATCTTTTAAACGTCGGCCCCCACCTTTTTTCCCTCTCGTTTAAACGTTCGTAATAATAATGATAATAATAATAATAATTTCCAAAATTTTTTCTCTTATGGATAAGATAAATAGCCCCCCGTGAATTAATAATACATAAATTAAATAATTGATATGGCAAATCAATCGATCGATCGATGGTCGATGTGTGACCTTATTTTCTCTCTCTCTCTCTCTCTCTCATGCGTGTGAATCTTCCATGGAAATCATTTTAGGTTTTTCCCTCCCCCCCCCCCTCCACATTGATGATTACGTTATTCGGAGTCGTTTTGCCAAAAATTTATTATATATTTTTCAAATCGCGAAATTATATATACATGCAACAAACACGAACGCACACGCACAAATGAAATTCTATTAAGGCAACAAACACAACAACCACAACAACAACAACAACACCTTCAAGTATGAAAATCGACAAATGAAAAGGTCGACAACACGGTCATCACGGCCTGTCCAAAAAACATGCATTTTGTAATCGTTAAAAAAGACAAACCTTTTCGAAATGGGGGTCATTGCGATTCCTTAAAGGTAAACCTTTTCCTACACGATGTGACTCCATAAAAGTATCGATGGTAAACCGCGCGCGCGACATGTTTGCAAAACTTCGCCATTTTGTTTTTTTTTTTTTTTTGACCTTTTATAAAATGGCGACGGTAATTTTTTCTTCGAAATTTTATACGTATTTATTATTATTATTATTATCATTAATAGCGGTTAAACGTGTGAAACGAAAACAATGTGATGGTGGTGACACCTGAGTAATTAACAAAGACTACCGTAAAAAATTAGAAAGAGAGAGAGAGAGAAAGAGAGAAAGAGGAAAATTGAGATTAAAAAAAAACAACACAAATTTATTTATTCGGGGGGTGGGGGCCTAAACGATCGAACCGACGACGACAACAAAACAACGACATCGATTTAAATTTGTAATATTATATTATTGACCCCTCCCTCCCCCCATCCAACCCCCGGGGGAGATGTGCTAAAAGGCTTTCAACCTAATTTTTTAAAAGTTAATTAATGTATTAATTAACGCATCATCAATTAAAATCAATTTGACTCATTATTATTATTATTATTATCGTTACATCTCTACCTGGAATCGATTTCTACGATCGTTTAATCGATAATTTACTTACGTCGTTTCGAGAGGGCGTCGGGGTCAATTTTCCTCCCTAAAGGTCGTGTCGTTAAATTACTTCCTAACGTTACCCCCACAAAATTCAAAACCTGGAATGTTTGCGTGCGTGCGTACGTGCGTGCGTGTGCGCGACCCCTATTTAACTGCCCACCGAGCAAAGCTTTCATCTTTTTTTTTGATTTTTCGTTTCCTTTGGATAGTTTTAACGGTTTTTCATTGGTTCTAAGTCAATGTCCGAATTCACCACCTTTTCTTTTGGGTAACAGGTCGGTCGGTCGGTCGGTCGGTCGAGTGGTCATTTTGTGGTTTCTTTTACAAGGTGACAAAAATGAAAACGTTAATAATTTTTACCAATTTCCCCCCCCCCCATTATTACGGTAAAAGAGCAAAAATGAGCGAGATAGAAAAGATTTCGACGACAAGAAGAAGAAGAAGAAGGAGACAAAGAAAAATAAATCGAAGAAGAACCTAATACACAGCATCACCTCTCCGTGACGTCAACATTTTAAAACCTTTTTTCGAAACCCATCGAACACAAACCCAAACGCGTTTTGATCGCATTCATTTTCGTCCGAGAATTCGACAAAAATAAATTCAATCATTCATTCATTCATTCATTCATTTTTATAAATTATTAAAATATTTTCAATTGTTGCTTTCACTTTTATTTTTTTATTTTTATTGCGATAAACACATTGCCAACGATTATATTATTATTATTATTATTATTATTACCATTCCGAAAAGGTTTTTTTTATGAATCGACCGTCCGCCATTTTGTTTCTTAACCCAAATTAAAATAATAAATTTTCCAACCCGAAAAAACCCAACGATAAGAAATTCCTTTCAATCGATTTAATTAACATTTTAAAAATAAATAAATACGATCGATGAACTTTTTTTTTCATCGATTATGACAATAATAATAATAATAATAATAATAATAATAATAATTGCAATTATTTAATTGGTCGTGGAAGAAGAATAATAAAAGAATAAAAGAAGGAAAAAAAAAAAAAAAAACATTTGTCACATATTATGTATGAGTACATAAGTTCAAATCCACACAATGTGTTGCTTACTTACTTACATACTCACTCACTCGTTTCTACTACTACCATTACGTAATTACGTCATCGTAAATTATTATTATTATTAAATAATTATTACGTCATTTATTAACTTTTTTCTTATTTTTTTTTTCGTCGAAAAATACTCGAATTACCGGAAACGAA